TTTTGTATCTCAGTAAACTGAGACCTCAATACAGTCAACTCTTCATAAAGTGGTTCTTCCTAGTAATAATTATTATAAGTAATACAAACTAGTGAGATATACCTTTACTTCTTTATTTGATTCAGAATCCCTTTGAACCGTGGCAGTCAATGATTCCTCCTATTAATTCAAAATATTATATTTATGCAAACTATATGTTCAAATACATCAAGAGTCATGCTTAAAGTATGCAAAGGATTAGGCTAACCTCAGGTACATGTACTTGAGCCATTGATATTTTTTGTTTCAATTCAAATCTTTCCTATACATACAAGATTGCATTACACAGTCTGGTAGTAGGACATACCTTCTCTTTGCTACTGATAGTATCTCTTAGCTTATATTCAGCTTCTTCAAGTATAATATAAGAAATAACCTGTACATATACCATACAAAAGGAAATCTTGGAAAAAGTTAAATTTGGAAAATCGCTAAATTTTGGCGATTGGCGAATTTTAATTTGGCAAATTTGTGGCCATGTGCCATTGAACATGTGCATAATGGCTCAAAATGGCAGATTTTTATTTTTGCAAATGGCTATCAGAGTGTCAAATTCACCAAATTTAACTACCTCCAAATTTCCTTCTATATGGTAATTAACAAATTACAATCAACTGAACATATTGTTACATTGTACAGGTACTATAATGCAACTAATAAAAGGAATGATTATATTAACTGACCTCAGTGTGTTGTAGTAAGTCTTGATCCTTTTCCTTTAGTTCCTACACAATACAATATTCACAAAACAATATCCAATTATTCATATTATGTACCTTTTGCCTAACATCTTGTCTCCTCCATAATGTTAAGTTACCAATAGTCAGTTTCTTTAATCCTTGTCCCATTAGCATATAAATATTCTCTATCATCCTCAATACAGTAAACCCAACATCAGAGAAAGGAAAGGAGCAAGTGACACATATTGATTCAGAAGGCTCTATATATTTAATCTTCAGTAGTTTACCGGAAACTTTTGCAAGGATTTCCTTGATATCCTCCAACATATGTTCCTTAGGTTTCCAGTCAAAAATAAAAATAACCATCTGACATTGAAGATGAGGAATGGAATCAAATCGTTCATTCAAGCAAAGACTAATAGAGAGTGACTTGCAAGCTTCACTCAACTTTTCTCTATATGTTTTAATGTAATTCTCTGCTTCAGTGATGTTCATTTCTTCTATTATACTACAAAGCAGTTCAATGTCAGTCAATGAACACTCATCTTTAACATGACGAAGGATGCTTGAAATATCTGAACATTTGTTTACTTTTTCACAAAGGGAGCTACTATAATAAAACAGGAATTCTTTGATATCTCAAC